AGCCTCTGAAAATTTGCATTATTCGTAAATTATGTTGAGTTTTGAATCCCCGTTGCTGAGGAGTTGCGTCAAAACGGCCACTGGCTTCGCTGTTCCCAACCTCTGCTCCAATGACTAATCGCAGATCAACCGAGTTCAGGCCAGCAGGCGTGCACCCGTCCTCAGTTCGCTTCCCAGCGTGGAAGCAGCCCAGAAGAGAAGCCCAGCACGAGGAAGCCCAGACGTACACATATGTTGTCATATTATCGTTGTTTTCCATATACGTCTTCAGGTTTTCCAAATATCAATTTTGTAATGTTGGTGATATTTTATTACACATATGCATCAATCTCCCTATAAGTATATGTCATTAAATTGTCTTTAATTTGTTTCTATTAATTTAAGCGCCAAAGATGGCTCTTTCCCTACCAATAAGATGAATGTGAAGCTGAAACAATGCAAATTATCGGCACTGAAATCTCGAATGATATATTAAAGCGAACTACGATTTAGCAATGCATTTATCCTCAAGATTAAATTAAGAAATCACATTTTTCTAATTGTCATGCACATGTCCAGTAAACTAAATTTAGCTTCAGCATATTCTCTGTATTTTTACATTTATATTGCATATATTAAAATCTAAATGCATATTTATCAGCACATCCTATGAGCTTATGTCCAATGATGACTAACATGATATAACTGATGATAAAAATAAAAAATACACCAACTTTGAACAAAAAATTAAGATAGATAGTCTATTCATAAACAAGTAATAAAAAACAAACAAACCAATTTTGTGCCGAACCTGAAACATTGCAATTATTATTTTTTTAATAAATAGAAATTATTAAGAAAAAGGTTACGCTTATATACAGTCTTATTTCTGATTTATTTGATGGTCAACCTAATAATTGTTGTATGTATTTTTTGTTTTATTTGGAGAAAATTGTGAAATATGGAATATGAAAAGGGAGAAGGGAGAGAAATTAGATGGAATCGTTAAATTATGTTTCTATCTATAAATTATTGAACTCATTATTAAGGAAGTTACATGATTCAAACTAAAAATATACTTTATTAGTATAGCTGGAAATGTAAAATAATACATAAAATAGGCGATTTTGCTATGAAGCCAACAATTGGCCTCATAGTGGAGCCAACCTTCTATATACAACAAGTAAACCTACCATATTCTCTGATTACTTAAACAACACAAATAATCTTATTAATATGGTATGGTTTACTTGTTGTATATAGAAGGTTGGCTCCACTATGGGGCCAACTGTTGGATTCATAGGAAAACCGGTCAAATAGGAGTAAAAAAAGTTAAACTTTGAATAAAATAAAATTTATAATATAGTTGGAAATTAGAAAAGTTGTCCAAGCGTGGGGACAATGTTTTTGGCGACAACAATCAACATCCGCCGACCACGAGAGGTGCCTAGCAAGGGAGCCCAGTTGAGTGAGGCCTAGTTTCCGCAGTCCTTTGTGCAGCCCGCGTCTGGCCTGAGTTGGCCCATGCTCCTCACAACGAGTTACCCAATAATCAAACTAATAAAGTTGTGTACAAAGATGTTTTTATTAATATAATATTTTTTAGGGACGAACATTTTATGATGAATAATATTCGTATGTATTAAACTCTCATATATCCTAATGCATGTCAAATTACAATATTCTCCAAATTTATATATCCGTGCATCGCACGGGATACGCACTAGTTCATATTTATAGTAAATATATTTTTACATGAAATGAGCATTTTGACTTAAACTACAAACTCGTTATAATATTTAAAATTGGGCCCCCCTGGATGAAATTCCTAGATCCGTTTCTGCCCATAATCAACCCGATCATGACATATTTATATGATTATTGTTAAATTTGATATTTTATTTTTTTTTTCTCATCATGTTGCACTATTAGAAAAATATGATTAAGATACATTTTTACAAGACAGATATTTTATGAAAAAATATTGATGAAATTGAAATTCTTAGGTGGTGCAAGGTATACGGACATTTGACATAAAGTCAAATTCACAAGCAAGCAAACGAGAGGATAAACGAAAATATACATAAAATAAAAATAACCTTAAACATTTGTGATTAAAAGAATATAAACTGAAAATCGAACGAAATATTCGGTTTTGATTTCGATCTAAACTGAATTTTTAGTTTCAGTCGGTTCGGCTCGGTTAACCGAATATTGTGCACCCTACTTGACCATATGATTCTTATATAAAAATATTATAGAAAATTTGTTTGTATCATAAATGACATACACACACACACACAAAATTTATTTAATTTCTACAACATTTATTAAGTTTTTGATATAAAATTTTAAATAATTATGTTGCAAATTAGCAATAAAAATTTATTGGTTGTATGTTTTGGGAAATTGAAAGCCTTTGGGAAATTGAAAGCCTTTTAGAGGAATAGGAAATGGAATAAAAGTAAATCCACACCATTTCCTCTTTCTATCAGCCCATTAATGGCGGCCCACTAAAGAGAGTTAGGGAGTAGTAGTAGTATCGGCCATTAATATCAGCCCATCAACAGCAGCCCACTAAAGAAACAACTCTGCTGGTAAACCCTAGTGCTTGATATAAAAGCCTATCCTCTCCGCCCCCCATTTCTTCAGCCTAACCGCACACCTCGCAGAGAGAAGAGACAGAGGAAAAATGGTGTCGATGAAGCTGCAGAAGCGGCTCGCCGCTAGCGTGATGAAGTGCGGCAAGGGCAAGGTCTGGCTTGACCCCAACGAAACCAATGAAATCTCACTGGCTAACTCTCGTAAGCCATAACCCTCCGTCTTTCATCACATACGTGTTAGATAACGAGCTTGAACTTTTTTGGTCCGATATCTTTTCATTCGAGTTGTGATTTCTGTACTGTTTATTTTTTAACTAGGAATTGAATCTTCAGTCTGTTACGCTTTCGTTTTTTTCTGGAGTGAAATAGAGATGTTTATCATATTATGTCGCTTGGTTTGCAAGGATTGATCTTTATTTTTGCTCTTAATTGTGTTACTGTTGTTCTTATTTGCTTAATTATGTTGTGCCCGGTTTTTCTAATTCCAATTTGAAGGTTCTTGTGAACTAAGTATGTTGGACTGTATTGTTTAATAATGGTGGATGGTATGATTCCTTCCATTATTTGGTTTGTTGATGTATTTCCTTTATGATGCGGTTGAAATGGTCGAAGTAGGCAAATAACTATCTAAAGTCCCATTGTCACCAAAGCTGTTGCTTTGAAACCTTATCTATTTGCGTAATTGAAAATGCTGCTGCTGGGGGTATTGCGTATTACGATCAGATTATACGTCACTAGCATTGTTGTACCCTTTTCACCTATGTTGTTTTTCGATTGTTCAAATTTGTGCTTGATATCTTTGTTCCGGCTGAAGGTCAAAACATCAGGAAGCTTGTGAAGGATGGGTTCATTATCAGGAAGCCCACCAAGATCCACTCACGATCCCGAGCCCGCCGAATGAAGGAGGCCAAGAGAAAGGGACGTCACTCTGGATATGGTATTGCTTTAGATTTGTTTTATTATAGTAGCCCTTTTTTTCCTGAAGCTATGATATTTTCTCATCAATATTGTAGGGTGTTGTTCACCCTAATGCTAAAATGTTAAGTCCAGTTTTTGAACGTGCAATTTGTTCTGTGATGGTTCAATTTAAGATGAGTATGTGGTGAATTTATGTTCAACAATTATTTGTGAACGATTCCAGGTAAACGCAAGGGTACCAGGGAAGCTAGGTTGCCAACCAAGGTTCTTTGGATGAGGAGAATGAGAGTTCTGAGGCGCCTTCTTCGCAAGTACAGAGAGGCCAAGAAGATTGACAAGCACATGTACCATGACATGTACATGAAGGTGAAGGGTAATGTTTTCAAGAACAAGCGTGTTTTGATGGAGAGCATCCACAAGTCAAAGGCTGAGAAGGCTAGGGAGAAGACATTGTCCGACCAGTTTGAGGCTAAGAGGGCAAAGAACAAGGCCAGCAGAGAAAGGAAGATTGCGAGGAGAGAGGAGCGCCTAGCACAGGTACTTTGTTAGTTATTACCTGAATCAAAAGATTGCTGTTGAGTTCAAGTTTCGTTCCTTGTATTGACATAAAATTGCATTTTCTTTATCCGCTGGTTTGCTTTGCATTCTATAACACAAACCGACTATACAACTTTTATGTTGTTTATGAAAATTTGTTGACTTTTTTATTTATGTAGGGACCTGGAGAGAAGGCAGCAGCAGCAGGTCCTGCACCCACATCTCAGCCAGCTCAGTAAGCCTCCTTTTCTCGTTCGTTAAATCTGAAGTTAGTTTTATAATGTGACGGGGCACCAGCTTGACTGCTTGTATAATGTATGTTATTGATTCAGGGGAACTAAGAAGTCTAAGAAGTGAACTTAAAGAGCAGCTTTTCCATGATTGGTGGCTCCATGCCATCTCTATGTTTTTGTTTAGTATCCCGTTCTAGTGTTTTTGATAATGCTTTTCATTGTCATTACTGCAAAACTATGTTACTTAGTTCAAGGAGTACTAAAATTACATACCTTTGTTTTGGTTTTGTCATGCTGTTAAGTAGCTTGTGGTTTTACATTATTTCTCTGAGAATGTTCTCGTCTTTTATGAGACCTGTTGCTGTGTTTGTTTTGTATTAAATACTTGTGGTTCCTTTTTGGGCTTGAAGTTGGCCTTAATGCTTCTGGGCCTCATGGCTTGGGGTTCAATCTCAGAGCTATAGTCAGTCACCAGGTGGGTATAATTAAAGAGCCAATGTTCTGTTCTTTGGCCCTTGTTAATTAAAGTCAGAGTCACTAGGTGAGTGATATGCCTGAATCAGATGGTAGCTCTTTGTTAGGTCTGTGTTAAGGGAAAAGAAAAAGGGCACAAAGTACTCCTATCTAGCTTTAAATCGCCTTTAAAGGGCTTAGAAAGCATAGCAAGAACTTTTTAAATGGTCCACTCTTCGGTTGGTACATCTGTCCTAAAATCATACTATAAGCACACTCATAGGGTACATGAGGTAGAGCCCTTACTGAATTCATCATTGGATCCCTCATAGGGCTTGTTTGAAGAAGGAAATGTAGGTTTGTATTGCGTTACTCCCGACATTGAAAGGCTTTTACTCACCGTCCTCTCATTTTCCAGCAATAGATACCTATTTAATTGAGAGTTGAGCTCACCTTCAGCAAATTATCATCTAGAGGCTCGGAAAGAACGGAAGCCATTAAAGGATGTTTGGTCTACCATTGAACATTGGTCCAATGGTATTTCTAGAGTCTTGCGGCTAGTCTTGCGTGAAAACAAGGGAAGAGAATCCAATATGTTTGCAAACATAAAGGATGACATGTTTTATCTCTTCATAAGAATGCCTGAGATTTTTCCTATACAATCAATGAGATCGTTTTTGTATAAACTTGTAAATTTCCCATTAGAATGAAGACCCAAAAAACATTTGTTCATATAAATTTGTCAGTATAAACCAGCATCATAGTTTTCTTTCCAAAATCCAATTGAACTGTAGGACATGACATCTAAAAAAAAAAAAAAATCACTATGGTTTTTTGCTAGGGCTTTCAAATGCAGCCTACATATGGTTGCTTAGGCTTAGGACACACACAGGTCTGGATGGACAGCCTCATAAAAGGGTGGTTTTTGTGGTTGTAAGGCAATCTTCAACCGAAAAACTCAAACTCAAACTCATTTTGCAGTAACTGTCTCATTTTGCAGTAATTCATCTCCACCCGAAAAACTTATTCTCTAACCCAAAAGAATATCTTCGGTATATTCTCTTTTACATCAACTTTCATAACTTTTCAATACTACCCAAATATTTTATAACTTTATAAATCAAATCACACTATTATTTTTATTTCAATTTGTATTAGTAATTTGTTGATATTTAATGTTAGTGTTTTCTTTTCTTTGTCAAATAAAAATACTATAAATAGTATGTGTATTTTACATTATTATTGTGAAATATAAAATTAAATGATAAATAAAATATTTATTATTTTAATATATTATCTAATTTAAAAGAAATTGAAAATTTTTAGTAGTTTACATATTGTGAAAAAATATAAAATTAATATTCATTATTTTAAATATTATATGAAAAATATATAAAATTTATATATATAAAAAATTCCCCACAAAACATTTTTTTTAATAAAGATGGGACTAAAATGACAAAAACCAAAATATGACAAATAAAAGGAGGGACTAAAATGAAAAATAAAAGTTCAGACTCAATTTTTTAGTCCAGACGCAAATATGCGTCGAAAGAGGAGAGAAAAACGGAAAAAACGCAAACTATAGATGCGTATGGAGTTCGGTTTGGGGCTGCAAAAGATGAGTTTTGGTGTTCCATTGGAGAAGGTCTTTGATGTCCGAACACACCACCGCAAGCTCATTTGCTGCTATGGTATTAGTACAAAGAATGCACAGTCTAGAGATGTACGATTTGGTAACACAAAAAGCCATAAAATCCAAATCCAGTCGAGTAAATATATGAATTCAATGTGTCAACAAACGAATATTTTTTCATTGTTTATATATAATCACTCACAATGCACTCGAAAATACAGGTGGAACTTCTATAATTCTAAATCCTACAACACAGCCAATCAGGTTATTTTGAAAAAAAAATGAACCACCAACAAAAGTAGCTGCCATTGTTGCTTTGATGGTTTGTACGAAAAATCACTCAAAAATCAAAATAGAGGAAAAGTAAAATAAAAACAAAAAAAAAAAAAAATCTACACATTCTCTTTCACTCGAGTAAAAAAAATTAGAGGAAGAGGATTTGATCTCTTTTCTTTTTAAAAGAAAGTGAAATATGAGGAGAACCTCAACATCCCTCCTTGCACACATTCATCTACTTTCGACTACCATTTTTACGCTTCGTTTCAGTACTCTGCCTTCCTATCCGAGGTGGAAAATGGCCGGCCTCATTAGTCGCTTTTCGGGATGGTGATGGGGCTAACTTCGGGATCATACTCCTGTTACTCAAACGAGAGTTCATCATGTAAAACACATTCATCACAAAAGGCTCGACTAAGTCCGCATAATGACACTATTTAATGAAAAAAAATCAATACTTCTTCAATAGACGATGAAAACATTGTCTTTTGGTACGAGTGTTACCTAACGCGAAATTAAAGAAATAATGTTACGCATGAACGAATAATGAATAACTTCTAAGTTTAGAGAGTTTAGTTTACCTCAATTCCGGGCTTTTGGATTGTATCAAGTTAGGCTTCTGGACCTTGGGACTAACACCATTGTTAAAGTTCCCAAGCTTGGAACTATTAAACTGCCACAGCAAATCCGGCTCAGACGAGTCACTTGTTCCAGCATCGAGCTCATCCATCTCATCAGCACCGTTAATGTCAAATTGATAATACTTCGAGGAATCCGAAAGATATTTCTGATAATTCACATTGGGAACAGTAGTTTTGCTGTTGTTTGGATCCCAACCAGCCAAGGGACTCATGAGTTGGCAAACAAGGTCCTCTTGCTTGTTGACCATGAGCTTGTCCACCCAATCGCCCGAGGTGATTTCTCGATCATCGTCTAAACTGGTCTGGCATGGGCTGGTTATGGGAGGCCATGTGGGAGTGTTCCCGAGTAGCTCGTCTAGGTCCAAGCTTTGCCGCTTTTGCCTCATTGCAGCATGGCGGTTAACCTGAGAAGTCAGCTGGGGCAAGAATTAAATTCAAGAATAATTGGAAAAAGAAAAAAGGAACGCTAAGAAGAAGTAATCAAGTTTTACATAATTACTATAGCTATTCATAAGGTTGCATCTAGTTATTCAGAGAAACAAAGCAAAAGAAAACTTGTTACAATTTTGTAAATGCTACTCGACATTTATCACTTAGAAAGGAGCTTTCGGGAGAAAAATAATTTACAGTACAGCTACCTCTAAGTTGGCAATATCATCCATTGATTTCCTGAGCACATTAGGTTGGAAAGGAGATGTTTGGATGCCACATGGACTGTCGCCAATTATCTTATGCGGCATGGACACCTGTTGACCATCTTTCCTTGCTAACGCGGCCTTGAGAATGGCAATCTATGACATAAAATTGAGCACTTGAGCTATGTAACTAAATGGGAGAGAACATAAAAATCAGATCAGATATAAAGAAACAAGAACAAAGAACAAAATAACAAAAATTGGAACCTGCTCTTTAAGCTCTTTAACATCAGCAGAATCCTTGTTAACTCGAGCAGCACCCAGTTCAACAGTAGCGACACGCTCGGCAAATTTGAGTGTACTGATTGTCTCCCCAATGGCATCAGGCTCAGGGCTTATGTGGACAAACATCAGAGTCTTTGCTTGCCCACCTGTAAAGAGAAAAAAAAAAAAAAAAAAGTGGAAGGAAAATGTAACCAAAATTATTTGGATCAAACATTATTTAGCAAGTCATTGTAACTTGAACGCCCGCCATCCTTACCGAGCGAGTCTTGGAGCAGTTGGGTGAGTTTGCTATTTCTATATGGAACATGTGAGTTCTTCTGCGCGAGAGATGAGATCACGTCACCAAGTGCCGAAAGAGATTTGTTAATGTGCTGAGCCTCTTTGAGCCGATCACCCGTCACTTCAGATTTGTCAACTCTTTCGCTTCCTGCCAAATCAACTAGATGCATGCAGCCTCGGAGAATACTCCCAGACGCCAAATTTCTTCCTTGGACATGAACCGTTAAACAACTGCCAATTAAACATGTTTATTTATTTATTTTTTTCAGTTAAGTCGCCATCTTTTTAAAGTGTGTTTACCTTTCAGTTACTCACCTATGTGAACGACTACTTCGGTCATTGAGTGCTGTTGCACCCACAGCACGATTCCTTTGTCCGAGATTCATGAGATCAATAACGTCAGAAGTTGAGGTGACACGAACCAAACTTGCATCTGGTACACTAAGTCCCGTATGAGAATTATTCCGTATTTCTAATGTATTCTTAGTGAAGGAATCAATCAATTAAGTTTCTGATGATAATTATGTTAGAAAAAAGCATGATATATTGAACATTTTTACTGATATAAGGTATGAAAAGGATATCTTCTGCTTAAGCCTTCTGTGTTAAGGAGGTCCCTAACTTGCTCATTATAAATCTCCATCATCTGAACTGAGACATCATAGGAGAAAGTATCCTTTCTTTGCTCAGCAAGGAAGAATAAATCACGCAATGCCCTGTAATTCACTCCTTGATTATGCTCTGTCAGATCCTTAGGTCCAGTCTGAAAAAATATAATACCTTTGCAATAAACATTATTGTTGATTTTCAACAAAATAATAGACCGTGATGCAAATAAAACAACAGACATTGTGGCATCTTACCATAGTGTATGTTTTTCCTGATCCTGTTTGGCCATAAGCAAAAATGCACACATTATAACCGTCAAGGACCGATCTTATAAGTGGTTGGGTGTCTGAAAAGACCTCCTCTGCAAAAGTGACACGGAATTGTTGTGGACAGGTATCTTTTTGCATACTCAAACAGTAATCATGTGAAAGAGACTAATGCCTCAAATGGACGGGTCTAACCTTGAGTTGCACAAGGCCCAAAGACTTTGTTAAAGTTGAAGGATTTTCGCCCTTTTCCATTCTTAGCAAGAGTGCTTATACTAATAGTCCCATCCTCAATGTGATCAACAGTACTCAAGTGATTATATTGTCCGGGCAGGAATGGCCTGACACGGCAGTAAACTCTAATGTTTCCTGATTGAGTTAAACTTTACGAGGTTAATTCACTTTAGAAAAGGTATAACTCGGAATATCGATAAGGTTAAGAAAATATAATCATACCCTTTAGGTCCTGTACTTGATTATAAAGTCTGCAGTTTTCCTCCATAACTCTATGATAGCCTGAAGCAGCATGGGCAAGTCCATGAATGTGGAGACCTGTAGAGTAAGAGTAAAATGTAGTTTAAGAAAAGACAGGGAAAATAAAGGAAAAAAAAGGAGAAAAACGAGAAATGTCATGCTCTTGACCTAATAGAAAAACACAATAAGTAAACGAAGATAAAAGAATTCGACTCCTTACCAATATTGTGAATTTCTTCATGGAATTTCATTTGCATGAACTGCATACCAGCTTTTGTAGTAGAAAGAGTCTGCTTCAGCACCTAGACCAAATATATGATAAAAGTGCAATTTTAATCTTTCTCCTCATAATAAATTCTGAAGAAGAAAGGGATTATGTTAAAGTAGAGGGAGACTACATTCAGTTTCATTATGGTTCTTACGTTAACATCTTTTTGCTGTTGATCAATAATCAATCGCTGCTTTATGAGTCGACTTTCTGATTCTTCATCAATGTGTTTCCTCTGCAATGAGTCGTCTCTCCTCAGTGTTGCAACATTCTATTATCAGTAAAATAAGAAAAAGTTAAAATGATAAATCCCCGAGGCACAAATACTCAAAAGACAAACAAATAGTAGCCGATTTGTAGTAAATACTTTTCAAAGCATTTAATTCCAGTAGAGTACCTTCACATTGGCTGAAGGAGGCTTTAAGACAGATTTGTTGCCATGGGAAATTGTGGCATCCCGGAAGTTGGCTTTCTTCTGTTACGTAAACAAACAAGAAAGAGAAATGAGTGAGAGACTCGGGAAAAAATCTCTAATGTGTTAACTCAAGATATTAATGTTCAAGTAATCCAATTTTTCGTTCGAGAATAATGCTCAGAGTTAAGATGTCGATTTTGTTATAAAATAATTAGTGAATCCAATGGTGCGGAGTGATAGTCAAGAAACAAACTATACCAATTCAAGTTGGCTTGCAATGCGCTGCTCAAACTCCTCAACAAGCTTACTTAACACAGACTCAACAAGCTGAAAATTCAATGTTACAATAGCAACAAATATGTCAGTAAAAAGCAGGAGACATAAACAAAGTCAGTTCAAAATTTCATGGGAACGAATTCAAAGGTAAAAGTCAAGCCGGAAAACTAGTAATCAAAAATTAATAAATTGATGACATTGATGGAACCATTGTGAGTGTCTTATCGACTTTTTATCTACCAAGAGATGTTAAGAAACTTTTATGCACATGGAGTTAGAGCTATGCTATAAACTCGCACATGTTACTTACATTAGGGACTTCTTCAGGCTTCTTATCCAATAATATTGAACGAACAAGCATGCTCAATGAAGAATTCGACTGCAACTAACATGAAAAATCACACAAATTGGGGTCACGGGCGCTAATATGGACTGAATCGAGATGAATTGGCAGCTTACTAACCGTTCTATTAACAGCTGTCTCTAGACATGTACCATTTTGAGATTTCTCATTCAACGAGACACTCCTTGACACAGAATTTGAGAATGGATCAGAATTTTTACGATTTAACTGTTTCCCGGATGTATTCGTTTTCAGATTGCCACCATATTTCCACACCCCATTTCCTCCTGTCTGTTTCCATTCACAGTAGGACTGAAGAGCCAAAACACAGTTCACCACCCTTGAAGATTTTCCTCCCTAAAAAAGACAGTCAATTATTTCAAACCGCAATATCCACAAAAACAAGCAACATGTATGCACTGTATATAACTCCAAAAATTCGGTTCGAAGAAAGACCGACCTGCTCGAGATCAGAGGCCTCAAAAGTGGGCATTCCCATTTCCTCAACCGCTACTAGAAAATTCCTCACATTCTCAAAGTACTGATAAGCAGATAATGCAGCACCATCCGGAACACTCGAGGAGTCACATGGACGTTCGACTACCTAAAAACAAGAAAGCCAACGCCATTTTCAACTCATGGCTTAAAGAAAAAGGAGTTTGCATGTGTGTGAGAGAGAGAAACTGACCTTTTGTACTGCTCCAGGCTGAATTTTGTTAAGTGCATTGCACAGAATTATCCCACTTCTTAACCCAAGCCTAAATTCCTCCTCGGAAGGCTCGGCCGGTAAATCCTTAGCGGCCACCACTCCAATCAGCTTTCTCAACCATGCGGCGGCCTCGTATCTTCTTATCGCTACATTCACAAAATTTCACTTAGAGCTAAACTTTGACACAAAATGGCACCTCCTACATGAAATTGAACACATATACATGCAAATTTACAGACGACATCACGTTCCATTCCCAATTACATAGCTTGAAATTTCACGATCAACCTAATTAGGCGTCCTTTGAAAACTCCCACGAAAAAAAAAAAAAAAAAAAACAGAATAGTGAAATGTTCACAAACTAAGCCTCACAAAATTCCGAAAAAATTACCAGCTTCCTCCGCCTTGCGAGCATCCAAATCGAGCCCACGCGACCGGTTCCCGTGCTGTTGCAGAACATCCTCCACCACCGACGCCACGGAGAAGGCCAGCGAGCTTTCAATCGCCGCCATTCCTCAACTCACTCCCCCCAAAAAAATGTCACGAAAAATAAACCTCGAATTTAGTTAGATACTCAATTATAGGTCACATTCACGCGTTAACGAGAGGATGAAGAAAGAGGAAAGTGGGTGAGTAAAGGCTTGAGCATCTGTAAAGATAACATACGATAAACACCATGGAAATGTATGGGAAAAGAATCGTTCCCTTTTGTTCTCACTCCTCACAACGTTACAGTGAGGCACTGGCCATTGTTGCGACTTTCTTCACGCACACACTCTCTCTCTCTCTCTCTCTCTCTCTCTCTCTCTCTGTGTGTGTGTGTGTGTGTGTGTGTGTAAACTGGAAAAGCTTTCTTTGTGCCTTGCTTTCTTTATACTGGGGACTGGTAATGCTGTGAAAAATGAGTGTGTTGCGCACTTTTTTCGGATATATATATCTTTTGCTTATACCTCACATGATCACGAGCCTGGCTCCGAACCGTTAGCCTCGGGATCCAGATGTTATGTTTTTTTTGGCCATATTTAGCAAATATGTATATTTGGTAAATTTAGTTGATAATAAAAGTTTTATTTAGTAAAATTAGGCTAATTAGTCATTCTTTATTTATTTTATTTATTTAGGGAACACTTCACATTAAATTAAATACACTTTATTAAATGTCAAAAATCAAGCAATATTGTCTGGGTAATAAATCATAGAGAAATGCTCACCTACCTACGATGGACACATGTTAATATGCCCACCGTGTAGGTGGCATGCATTTATTGGTGATTTTCTTTTTTAAACATATTAACATCACCAATGAGTGCATGCCACCTACGAGGTGTGCATATTAACATGTGTCCACCGTGGGGTAGGGGAGCACTACTCATAAATCATATAGTATGTAGTTTTGGAAATAAGTATTTGTTGTTGGCAAAGGGGAAAAACACATTCTATTCACTTCTTTATATTGAAACTAGTACGTACCCCGTGCGATGCACGAGCCAAAAATATTAAATGAGTTATTTTCACATACTTTGTCTGTTTAAGTATATAAATCAATAGGATTATCATTTATTTTTAATCAGCGTTAAGTATAATAAACAATAAGGTTATAATATATTTTGCACCTCTTTTAATCAACGTTATTTTTTTAGTTAAAATATTAAAATAATTAATATATTATTTCACTAACACATTTATCCTAATTTAAGTTTGATTTTAGTATATATATTTATTCTTTGATATAAGAGAGAATAACAATTTTACTTATTCTTGTTCACCATATAATACTTAATTATTATTTATTATACACTTTATGTCATATAATGTCATTATTATTTATAAAGTTATAGAAGTTGTACGTCTTCTTTTTATTTTTATTTTATGTAATAAAAAATATTTAATGCACGTTGGTATTATTTATTTATGTAATCAATTTAAAATTGTAAATAAATTTAATATTAAATAGTGTATAAATATTTTACAAAATATATACACATGTTTTTTTAGAATTTAATTTTGTATACTAATTAAACAACTTTGATTTAGAAAATGCCAAAAACTCGATCCCCTCTATGATCAAGATTTTTCTGATTCACATTATAAGGATTTATGGTTTATTTAACATACTCAGCAATGAAATATATTTTACAAGAATTTAATTATAGAAATAAATCAAAATAAAAAAATAAAAAAATATAATCATGGGTGCCAATAATATACGAATAAATTCTAAACAATAGTTAATATATTTCAATTTTAATTTTTACCATTAGTAAAACTAATTAAATAAAGATTAAGAAACAAATATATTGACAAAGATTAATTCACCAACTTGATTTTGTCGAAAAAACATTCTACCTAACCTGTTACGATTTTCCATAAATATTTTTGGATAAAAAGTGAATATTTGTGAAAAAAAACTAAAATTATGGTTAGAACTTAAAATATGGTGTAATATTATCTTGACCAAAATATTATCAACATGGATCACATAAATCAATCTTGTAATTTATTATAATGAATATCAATGAAAGTATTACAAATATTAATAAAACAATATTTATGTTCACAAATATATTATCAACATGAATCACGAAAATCAATCTTGTAATTTATTATAATAAATATTAATGAAAATACTGCAGATATTCATAAATTTATTTAAGTAATTATTTGATCATATGTAATTCATCTTATTTTGAAAACGTGTAAATAGAAACAATTAATGCATATATTTAAAAAATTTTCAAAAATAGTATGCATTAAATGTTTCCTAGATTTTTGCTACTATTTTTAATAAATGGTAATTCTTTTTATATATATATATAGATTCTTGAATTTAGTGGGACAATTACTAAAAATAAAATTCACTTCTTTATATTGAAATTCTTGAATTTAGTGGGACAATTACTAAAAATAAAATTCACTTCTTTTTATTGAAATTCTTGAATTTAGTGGGACTATTACTAAAAATAAAATTCACTTCTTTATATTGAAATTCTTGAATTTAGTGGGACATTTACTAAAAATAAAATTCACTTCTTTATATTGAAATTCTTGAATTTAGTGGGACAATTACTGAAAATAAAATCACAAACATCCCATGTGGGAAAAGCCTCAAAAGTTAAAAAAGAAAAAAA